ACGAGGGGTGGGGAGAGGGAGAGGAGGGAGAGCTGGGGCTCTGGCCAGCCCAGGCCGTTTCAGGGTGCAGGCAGCTGAGACCCACTGCGGAGCGGCTCTGGGCCTGGGACTGCCAGGGGGCACTGCCAGGCTGGGCGAGGTGGGATGGGGCCCGGGCGAGCAGCCTTCCCAGGACGGTGACCCCCGGGCCACCTTGAGGACTGAAGGCTTCATCCTAGTCTGGCTCGGCTCTCTTCCGGTTGGTGGCACCTGGGGCCTGTCCTCTCTCTAAGCCAGCTCTGTCTACCCGCTGCAGGCTCCAGGGTGCAGTGTGGGACAGCGTGGGACAGTGTGGGACAAGGAGCAACAGTTACAAGGGTTCTGCTCCCCAGAAGATCAACCCTCGGAGGGGGGGCCTGGATGGGGACAGGCGAAGGTGCTGGCCTGGGTCGCCTGGCCCCTGAAGCGGACTGAGGGCTGGTAGGCTCTAATGGCAGATGGGGAGGCTCCTTGATCTTCTGTAGGGCTCAGACAGGGTGGGGAAGGCACTTCTCACTTGGGGTGACCCACATTTCCTCCCCTTGGAGGGGTGCTTGCCAAATGATCCGTCTGGGCACACACCTGCCAGGGGCCCTCCCTGCGTCCCAGAAACTCAAACCTCCCAGTCTGCCTGCCCCTAGGAGAATGGGGCTGGTAAGGTTTGTGGGAGCACCCTTTCGACACATGCCTATGGTCTTCTGGGAAATTTTCCTGCACCTCTGAGAGCCCTAGTCATCACCAGCCAGCGAATGTCCAATTACTTCGGGCTCCAGAACTGGCAGGGAGCGGAGGGAAGGCCCAGGGCTGGTTTGCTTCCTGCAAAGGCATCCCAGGTTAATTTCCCCACCTGTCCCATGAAAAATCAATTAGGCCGGCTCCGAGAAATATTTTCTAATTTCTTGGGAAACTTGGCCTCCGGTTGCCTTAGCACTAAGTGAGCCCCGGGTGCTGGACTTCTGCTGTGTTCTCTCCTGCAACCCAGGCTCCGAGTCATGGCTGCAGCAGGAACTCTGCAAAGCAGCACATGATCTCCAGGCAAACCTAGACTGTTTGTGGGCAGTAACCTGAAGACACCGGGTCAATACACGTGGCAATAGTTCCCCAAAAGAGCACCCCTAGAGAGGGAGCAGCATCCAAAGGGCCAGCGAATCCGGGCCGAAGCTGCACAAGCGGAGGGGATTCTAAATCTTGCGACACAGACATTCGAACAAGCTGTTGCAGGAAGCTTGCAAGACGCGCTTGAGGCCCAGCCCCGGCCTCCCGCGGAATCCGGGACTCTGCCCTGGCCGCGCTTTTGCGGAGTGCGGGGAGTGGGCGTTTGTAAGATTCTCGCGCGGTCCCGGAGATGTCAGCCCTGCCGCCGCTCGGCCGGCCCCGCGGCCCGCGCCCCTGCGCCCGGCGAGCGGCGCTCCCCCTCTCGCCGGACCCTGCCGGCTGCGGCCGCGCTCAAGGTCGGTTTCTCGGTCGCTGCGCGATCGAGCGGACCACCGCCGGACCCGTGTTTCTCCTTAGCATACAAGGAGGCCGCGGCCCGGGAACCTCGAACGTTGCTACTCTCCCAGGTGCGGGAGAGCCTCAGCAAGCCACCCGCTTTCGGAGAAGCGCCTCCGTCCTTCCCGGGCTAGCTGCACAAAGAGGGACCTGGAAGTGTGTCAAAAGGAAAGACCGCTGCTGGACACGTGGGTTTATAACAGTGACACTAGCATTGCAAATAAAACCTGCGGGGCTGTGGATGGCAGGGGAGCTCCTGGGGACGTTGGGTGCCTGGCTGCAGGTTCAGCCTCCTTTTTTTCTCTTAAAATGAGGCTGGAGGAGGGTGACATTTCGGTGGCAGCTCCGTGGTCCCCTCAGTCTCCACACTTGGGTAGGTGGGCGTGGGGACACGCAGGAAGGAAAAAACGGAGGCAGTGAGAGCGGCGTTCTCCCCGAGGGGTCCCTGCCACTCGGCTGGTAGAGACGCCCCACGGTTTTAGAGAGCGAAATCTCAACCCCGGCACAATCAAGCTGGGAAGCCCCGCGCCCCTGGCTGGGAGCCCGGCTC